CAACAGCATCACCTTCAACAAACTAGAGAACAAATCATCATTCGAAATCATCTACGACCGAAAGCCGTATCTCGGCAAAGTTCATCCATTTGGGACAGAGTGCTTCTATCTTGATCAGGATCCCAGCAGAAAGAAGATGCAGGACAGAGGGATCGAAGCGTTTCTCACAGGATTGAACGATGGAGTTCTTGGTTATCGTGTCCTGCTCCGAGGCACAAACTCGATCAGAGTATCTAACAATATTCGCTTCCTCAGACAAAGTCCCTGTTGCGAACTACCCCCGAAACTTCACCCAAAGTAATAAACACTTGATTCTCGGAGTTTTGTACTAGCTACTCGAGTTTTCGTCGGAGCTGAATCCTGAGCGTGGTGTCGTGACCACGTCGTGTTCGCATGTGTTTTTAGCCGCCGCGCAGCCGCGCCACCCGAAGATGCCGCGACGTGCGGACGCCCGACGTCCCCGCCCTCAGCTCCGACGGCAACCCGTCTCTCTCTTTATTAGATATTCTCATAATTAAACTGTGCCATAAACTTATTCGCCACACTCCCGGCCAAATTCCTGCCGATTCTGTAAATTAGTAATAATTGCCAGGGACATCCTGGTACACTTCGCTGAACACATCTTACAACGCGACATTGATACAGACGTCAAGGAATTTGAGAAGACGCGAGACCGGAACGGAAGCAGACAGTGCGCGGAAGATGACTCGGAGGCCGAGCCTCGGAAACCGTTTGAAAATGGATATGTGCGATGTGCGCGGCCCAAAACCCCATTGGTCGAATCACTCTCTCAACGAAACAGAACCGTTGTTCTCAGCCGCTTTTCTCGTCACTCGTTCCCGTCCTCCGGAAACAACCAAACGTGTCGTGCCACAATGCCCAACTGTGAATTCGACAGGAGCCCACTCGGGCTTTTTGTTCGCTCAGTGTATATGCACGAAGAATTCCGCGGAGCCGCCTTCGGCGAGGTCCGCGCCGCCGCCCGCGAGGTGTGGGATTCTATGACATTCACCGAACGCCAGCCCTATGTGCAGTGCCGCCAACGCGCCCGTGCCCGGGGGACAAGAGATCCAGTACCTCCAGGGGCTGACCGATCGTTGGTCGACCGCGTTCTCCGAAGGCACCGTGCCCGCCTCGCTCCCGAAGACCCCAACACCACCGCGCACCGCCTCGCCCAGGCCCGCAGACTGCACGTGGCGGCTCTTCGCCGCCGAGAAGCCGCCCAACGACGTATCCAGTGCGTGCATTTTCCCCCACCAGAAGCCGGAGAGGCCGCCGTCGCGGTCCGAGCCGAAGCCCTCGAAGCGGCTCTCGCCGCGCAACACCGCCAGAATGCGGAACGAGAAGAAGAGTTGCGCGCAGCAAGGATCCAGTCCCGCACCCTTGCCGAAGCCATCCGACGCGAGAGGACCGGTCAACGCCCGGAGACCGCGGCCGAGGCCTACCGCCGCCGGTGCTACGAAGACCTGATGAGTGGACCGTTCAGCCCCGCGCGTTCGCCCCGTAATCAGCAATGATCTTGTAATCTCCGCGGCCACCCCGGCCCTTTTTCAATACATATTGATAACTTTTAATTCGCCACCGACTCGTTTTCCCTGAATTGCCAACCGCTCGCCTCTGCGTATCCACAGCTTGCCAGCTAGACCTCTAAAGGGTAGAGCAATTGAATCGGTCGACTGAAAGTTTGTCCCGTCTCCATCTTGATCAAGCATGAACGTTTTCTGAGGTCCGTGCGCTCCCCCCCCGAGAGACCCAGAACCCTGCACAGTGGCCAGTGGGCCCTCGATGGCGCTGAGTCTCTGAGTAGACAGACATCGCCGACCTTTATCGAACGCGGAGTGACTGGATCACGGATATGCGCCGACCGTAGGTATTGCAGATATTCCTCTCTGAATCGCCTTTGGAAATTCCGCAGTACCGCCTGTTGATACTTCCACCGAGCCGAGAAAACGATCGAGGTAGCCGCTTCTTTATTTCTAGGCTTTAGGCGCATCTCTGGAAGACTTATCTTCGAATGATGGCCGTAAACTAAATCTGCTGGACAGAGAGCCTTAATCTCGTTAGGGTCCAACTGAACCGATGTTAAAGGCCTCTGATTCACCAGCGCTTCTATCTCCATCAGAGTGGTTTCCAATTCTCTGAACGAGAGCGTATTCCGACCGAGCACTTTCCGCAATGGCCTCTTGATCGTCTGAACCATTCTCTCCCACCACGCGCAATGCCAGGGGGCTCGCGCGGCTACAAACTCCCAAGAAATCTCTGAGTTCGCTAGGTGCCGCTGAACTTCTGGGGATTTCACATGATCATAAACTATCTTGAGCTCCTTAGCCGCTCTGACAAAGGCCAACCCGTTGTCCGAAATGATCTTCGCTGTGGTCCCGAAACGACTCAGGAACTTCCTCAACGACAAGAGAAATTCGACCGACGACATGTTCGGTACCAGTTCGAGATGTGTCGCTCTTGTGGCTGAACACACGAATAGTAGAATGTATCCCTTGCAGGGTTCGCTCTGATCGTTTAAATAAGAAATCGGCCCGGCATGGTCGACTCCGGTTATTGAGAAGGCTGGCGCTGTGTCAATTCGGAAGTCCGGTAACGGAGGTACCGGCTCCATCGCCGCTTCGACACGAAACCTCATGCATACCTTACAATCCTTGAGAACGCTTCTCACTGCTCTACGCGCTGAGAGGATGAAGTATGTTCTACGACAAAAAGTGAGAGTAGTGGATACTCCGCC